CACTACCAGGTCCATTGCAAATGAATGGTTTGCAGAACACGGAATACCTATTGGCATGCGAAGTGTTTACCAACGAATGAGAAGTTTTGGCTTGTTTCAATACCGGCCACACTGGGTGGAACAGTATTGTCTTTAGTGACGAGTCTCGATTTTGTTTAGGCATGCACGATGGTCATGCCAGGGTTAGAAGGCGACGTGGTGAAAGGAGGAATCCACAGTTTTTTGTTGAAAGACATGTTCATCACACTGTTGGAGTTGTGGTTTGGGGTGCTATAGCTTATGGTTCCAGGTCACCTTTAATCTTCATCAGAGGTAACATGAACGCGCAGCGTTATATCCACGAAGTTCTAGAACCCCATCTTTTACCCTATCTTGACACCCTAGCAGATCCAACTTTCCAACAAGATAATGCCCGACCACATGTTGCAAGAGTCACAATAGACTTCTTTCAACATAATGATGTCACATTGTTACCATGGCCATCAAGATCTCCCGACTTATCCCCAATTGAGCACGTGTGGGATATGATGGGTAGGAGATTGCTCAATTTGCAACGTCTTCCTCAGACTCTAGAAGCACTTCGAGAGGAGTTGGTGGTTGCCTGGAATGAGATACCACAGGAGTTCATTGACCACATGATCAGAAGCATACCTAGGCGCGTTGGAGAATGCGTAGCACATCAGGGTGCATCCACACCTTATAAAAGGTCAAAGGGCTTTAAAGCAGTGCAATCATTTTGAAATTTCTGTCATTTACTTATTATGCTTCATTAAGTACTTATACAAAATTTTATTAAAATAAAACCATTTAAACTGGGTGTTCGGATTTATATGTCACTTAGTATACTTGTGAGATCAATATTAACTCTTATTTATATTTTTATATTTTTTCGAAATATATTTTCCCATTTTGCAGTATTGAAGAAGACATCAAATAAATCTCAAAAAATCGATCTATGAGTAAATTGAGTTTGTGAACAGCTGGAGCATTGTATCCCAAAATCCGAGCACTAAGACAAGACTGCAAAATTGTAGCGATATTACTGCGACCCGAAAGTATGTCGCTCCCTAGACCTTCCCTAAACTATCTGTCAAAATTACCAGCAGAAAAGGCAGACAGAAATTCATGATGATCACAATAAAAATCTAAAAGCGCTGGATTATTAGTTTTTCAAACTAGGAAGTGACAACCGTGCTTCTACAAAAAAAATGTCATTCCGGAAAACAAGCGGTGTCTATAAAGTCGTATTATATGAGCTTGTGAAAAGATTGTTTTTATTTTTTTCTAAGAATATCATTTGTAAATGAAGCGCAACGTGGTGGCAAACCAAGGTATTGAAATTTCATATGCTCTAGAAGGTTGCAAGCTGATATTAAAAATACGTCCAAGAAAATGATACACCGTCATTGAACAATAAACCTCAGATACGTTCGCGTCAAATAATTTACTGATCAGTAGTATCTGTTATTCAGTTTTTACTAGAATTGCAGTAATGGTTTTCGAAATAGCGGGCAAAGTTGCACTTATAACAGGTGGGGCGTCAGGGATGGGGTTGAGATATGCCGAAGAGCTGATGAAAAATGATTTAAAGGTAAATACAATTTTTTATTAAAAACACCAGCGCATTAGGGGTTTGTGCTGCCACACTTACGTAAACGGTAGTAAAGTATAAAAACCCGGGTCCGAGTTCAAAATTCTAGACTTTTTTAACTCAATAAACGGTGGTATTAAGGCAGGACAAATGAATATTATACAGAGTCATCTGATGTGTTTTCAATTATACGAGTAATTGTCGAGCGCTAAAATAAATGACGGCGGAAGCATGCATACTAAGTGAAGGGAGCCATTTTCAACAATTTTTGTCGGTTTTAATGTTATGTTTATGATTTCAGTTGTTATTGTTCATTAGACCTAATGTGTTTAATTTTTCCAATTAAGTTAATGATAATTTTACAAGCTAGACAATAGAACGGTTTTATTTTTTTACTCAAAAATGGCACATCGAAAGAAAATAACTCAAGAGAGATCATTTGTTTTGAATTGAACGGGGAATTCAAAAATAACACTGATCAACAGCCAAAAAATATCCTAAATAAAATCAACAAAATATTACTATTTTTAATGTGCTAAAACCTGAATGAAACTTACTTTTTCAATATTAGTTCAAGTTTTAGAGATACGGTAATTATATGTGTTCCTGCTGTGACAGTGTTAATATACTGTAATTCGCAAGAATGCACGTGCTACATTTTTATATTCGGCAAGGAAAGATGATGTAATCGGCATGATTGTGTTACGTTATACATACGTGTACATTATATTGTTTTATATTAGCCAGTTTTTCCTCAGTTGGCTGACAGCGTTCATGCAAGATGTCTCGAAAGTGTGTAAACAATCCAGATCAGTTTTGTTACGTGTGTGGTGACTTTTGCGTCTCAGATACGGTCTATTACTCCACTAATAACAAAGGCATATCAGCTTTATTTCGGTTGTAAACTAGGTGATCAAGACAAACAGTGGGCACCCCACATCTGCTGTAATACATGTGCTTCAAGTCTGAGGAGCTGGTTAAATGGCAAAAAACGGTCTATGCGCTTTGCTGTCCCAATGGTTTGGAGAGAGCCTACAAATCATATTAATGATTGTTACTTTTGCATGGTACCTTGTGTTGGACAAGCCACAGGTATGTCCAAGAAAAAAAAAATCGGTTATTAACTACCCAAACATACCATCTGCGATGAGACCTGTGGCTCACAGTGACGAAAATCCTATTCCAAAACCCCCAGAATCCTACACTTGCGAATCAGAAAACGAATCAGATCATGGCGATCGAGTGATTCGTCAGGAAGAAGATATGCCATCAACGTCAAGAGATCCTGATTTTATACCGAGCACGTCATGGCACCAACCGCACAAAATAACACAGTCAGAATTAAATGATCTTGTAAGAGATTTAGAACTTCCAAAATGTAAGGCAGAGTTACTTGGATCAAGACTGCAGCAGTGGAACTTGTTAGAAGACGATGTTTCGGTATGTGTTTTTCGTAAACGCCACAAAGACTTAGAACCATTTTTCAATATGGAGAATAACTGCAGTAACATTAACGGCTTACTGGCGGCTTTAAATATAAACTATAACCCAGAAGAATGGAGATTGTTTATAGACAGTTCAACATTGAGTTTAAAGGCAGTGTTTTTGCATATTGGAAATATTTTACCATCTCTTCCTGTAGGGTATGCAGTTCACATGAAAGAATCATATGACAATATGAAGAACCTATTGACATGCATAAAATACGATGAGCACCAATGGCATATTTGTGGCCATTCGAAAGTTGTTGCACTTTTACTTGGGCTGCAGCTAGGCTACACAAAATTTTGCTGTTTTTTGTGTGAATGGGACAGTCGGGCAAAGGCACTTCATTACACCAGACAAAACTGGCCTGTTCGTCAATTCCTAGGGCCAGGTCAAAAAAATGTACAGCAAATGCCATTAGTAGATTCGAAAAAAATTTTATTACCACCACTGCATATCAAGTTGGGCCTAATGAAAAACTTTGTCAAGGCATTAGATAGAGATGGGTCAGCTTTTCAATACCTGCGTCAGAAATTCCCAAGACTAAGTGAGGCAAAGGTTAAAGAAGGTATTTTTGTTGGGCCACAGATTCGAAATATTTTGAAAGGTACACAGTTTGAAAACACTTTAACAGGTATTGAAAAAACTGCTTGGAATGATTTCCGTCTGATGGTCACTAATTTCTTGGAAAATAGAAAAGCTGACAACTATAAAACCCTTGTCAAAAATATGCTGTCATCGTATCAAAAGATGGGCTGTAATATGTCTCTTAAGATACATTTCCTACACTCACACCTGGACTTTTTTCCTGACAATTGCGGAGCCGTAAGTGATGAGCACGGCGAACGTTTTCATCAGGATATTTCAACAATGGAAAAAAGGAACCAGGGAAAGTGGAATCCTTCCATGCTTGCAGACTACTGTTGGACTCTTGGTAGAGATGCTCCAGCAACGATCCATAAAAGAACAGCAAAAAGACAACGCATATAGTGATTCTTATAAGTATATGGATCTTGTTACTTTTTTAATATATCCTTAAAAATCAAAAGTTTTTTTTCTAAACCGCAACTAATTCTTTTATTTCATTGTCATTTTTGGATTCAGCGCCCCAAAATTAACAAAGAAGTGCACTTTTCCCACAAGATACAATTAAAAAACTAAAATTTGTTGTCCAGTGCTTTGGCAAAAAACTATTGGGGTACTATTTTTTTCTTAAAAAATATCGAAGTTACTACCCGTACGCACTCCACTGTTAAAGCTAAAATTTATTTTTGCATTGAAAAATATGCAACTGTATTAACTTTCCCTACGTATCAAATATCAGTGAAATATCTGAAGCGGTTCTGAAAATATTAATTAATTTCCATTTTTTTTTCCTAAAACTTCACCACCCCGAGTTTTTGTAAGGAAACATTTTTGGACCATAGTTTATAAATCAAACTCAAACATTAATTTTTCATGTAGATTCACATTCTTAAATATTCGCATATCATTAAGGAACACCCAAGTAAATTAAAGACAGATTGTTTTCTAACATTAAGCATGGAATATTTTTAAAAATTATTTGCAGGAAGCAACAGTAATTATTTTTAACGGCAAACACAGCGTTTTATTCTAAAACATGAACGATATAACTGATAAATGCATGACTGCGTTTGTTCTCGATAGAGAATAAAATCATAATTGATAATGATGTGTAGTCTGTATCATATAGAGGATAAAACCAGTATAGTTTGAAAACTACTGTTATTAGACTTTGATAAATTGATTTACTGCTTTTATGCTTAGGAAATGTGATGAATATGAAATATTTGACAAACTGGACAAATTGCTATTTTTGTTAACTAACATCTTAAATGACATATTTTGTAATTTTTATCATTGAAGAAATATATTGGCGTCAAAATTCAAAAGAGGCAATAAATGAAGTTTACTACCTTTTACTAAGAACGGCACTGTGCTTTAAAAAACTTGAGTCCAACTTACAAAAACCCAAAGTATTTCGTACTCATGGAAAAAGAAGCTAACATAGTGGCAAAATGGAGTGGTAATAAAAACAATCATACTACTGTTACAGCAAAAGAATTTGTACACGGTGTGGAAAATGTGTGTTCGGACTACCGGAAATGTGGGTTCGAAATTCAGTGACAACGATTTTAAATTTTTTTGTTAAAAATGAAAATAGAAACTTCAGTTGAATACCAAAAATATTTTGTTCCAGGCTGTTGTATTAGCAGACTGTGATGAGGAACGTGGAAAAGAGTCCGAAAAAAAATTAAACGAGAGGTTTGGGGAAAGTAGAGCTATCTTTGTCAAAACTGATGTTTCAAATATTGATGAGTTTGAAAGTAAGAGTCGGTGATCAAATACTGTGAATAAAATGATTGCTTTCCCAGTAATATCTTTCAGAGTGCAAGTATAGAAGCTTTGTACTTTGTATTTTTTCCATAGGAAGCAATAATATAACTTTTGTGTAGTACTGCAGCCTGTGGAGTTGCGTATTTCAGAACGCCTATTTAAACATTTTTTTTCTAGATGCTTTTAATGAAACAATCAAACATTACGATCATGTAGATATACTTATCAACAATGCAGGAATACTTGATGACAGTATCTGGGAGAGAGAAATATCAGTGAATTTGGTAAGTAATCTATCATCCAACCAAAAAAATACAAGACATTATTCTAGCTGCAATAAATTACTTCATTCAGGCTGCAAAGTTGTCGTTAATAACAGAAAAATTTGGTACATTCGTAGTGGCTATTACTCAGACTTGATGATATTGTACTATCAGTGCCTTCAGGTTATCCTCCCGAGTTAACTCTGAATGACCGATCGATCAAGAAAGATATCCTTCTTGAAAATGCATGAATTGAAAAATGATATATCTTTCACTATTTTTAGAATGGTAACATACACGGACTCATACTAGGAATGGAAAAGTTCCTGAAAACATACCGTCAGTCAGAGGAAGCAGTTATAGTGAACATTTCTTCAGTATGCGGTATAGAATGCTACGGATTTCTACCTGTTTATTGCTCCATCAAGTTGGCTATAATTGGGATGACTAGGGTAAGACGATTCAATCACCTGGGGTGTAAATAGCTTGTTAATGTAATACCTTGCAAAGTGATGGAACGTAGATTGACAGATGAATTTTACTCTGCAAGACTGTGTAAATTCATTTTTAGAACGCCTAAATTATTATGACGCTTGGTAACAGCTCACTAATTTCCAATCAAACTTTCTGCTAATGTTTTATTATAAGAAACGCTATGGATTCGAGGTAGCCATTTATCGTGAAAATATATATCCTGCCAATTTTGAACACTTTTTGATAACCAAATAGAATAAAGAAGCAATGAACCATGAGAATGACAAGTGACAGCACTCTTATTCCCAATGTCACTTTTGACGTTCCAGAAGGATTACTACGTTCCGATTACGAACGCTGAAATTGTTACAGAGTAGTACAAAGTACACTCTAAAAATTCACTAATGCAGCTCAGTCATGGCTGTAGTCATAGAATAGCTTTGTCAGTTTAACAGCAGTTCTTACTCGGCGGCCTTTTTCGATAGTATGTTGGTTGATGTTGCAAACTGTCAACGTTATTCCACGGCTACTAATATTCAGCATAAAGCGGTGCAGCGCTGGATCGCTTTACGTTTTCTGAACAGTCCTTTTTTTTTTTTTTTTTTTTTTTTTTTTTTTTTTTATATCGAAACAGCCGCGCAGGCAGAAGCCTAAATGCCGGAACACCGCGGCTGCTATGATGATCCCAAAGAAATTTTGTTAATACGATTTTTGAACTGCCTAAGGTTAGTAGAACTGGGAAAAGCTTCCTCCCGTAGTTTGTTCCACAATCTAGACACCCTCGGGACAAAGGAGCGGTCGTATCGGCCAGTTCTGGATGTACGAAGTTTGACACGGTTAGGATGGGACGCCGAAGTCAGGCGGGTCTGTCTGGCAGGCACATCGCGCGGCGGCATCATGGAAGAGAGCTCTGAGGAGCAAAGCCCGTTGGTGTAGCGATAGAAAAGAGCTAGATCGCCGACGGCCCGCCGGTGCGAAAGAGTCCCGAGGCTGTCTGTTAGAGAAGAGTCATCGATCAGTCGGACCGCCCTCCTCTGGACAGCATCGAGCATGGACAATGTAGTCGGGGCGGCAGCACCCCAAATGTGTGAGCAATACTCGAGGCTAGGCCTTATCTGGGCCTTGTATAGAGTGAGAAGGTCATGCGGAGAAAAGTACTTCTTAGCCCTAAACAAATAGCCTAGCTTTTTCCCAGCAGCTGCAGCTATTGAAGAGATGTGTTCGTGCCAGATCAGGTCCTCGGTGATCTGGACTCCGACCAGCCGAAATGAATGGCTCTTTGGTAGAACTCGACCGTCCATCGAAACTGTATGAGCGCTAGGACGCTTTTTGTTCGTCAAAGTACAGTACTGTGTTTTGGAAGCATTGAACTGTACAAGATTGTTGCGTCCCCAAGCAGTGATAGCCTCCAGGTCTCTTGTCAGAGAAGAAGTCGTCGCTAGTCTTCTTTTTTCCAGCTCAGCGGCAGAGATCGGCTTGTCACTCTGAATTCCTGCATGTAGAGTGCTGTCATCAGCGAAGCTGTGGATTGGGTTGATCGTGCAGGAAAGGAGGTCGTTGATATGTAAGAGAAACAGTGTTGGAGCCAAGACCGATCCCTGGGGAACACCCGCGTTGACGTTGTGAGATGAAGAGGAGAATCCGTCAATTACGACGGATATCTTGCGGCCAGAGATAAAGTCAGCCACCCATCTGCAAAGCTTTTCTGGGAGGCCGTAGGTTGGAAGTTTGCTCAAGAGGGCAGCGTGCCACAGCTGATCGAACGCTTTCGTGATGTCAAGAGCAACGACATGAGCCTCACCATGAGACTGGATGAGTTTACTCCACTGTTGCGTGACGTTAGCTAGGAGGTCCCCTGTGGATCGTTGGTACCGGAAACCGTACTGCCTGTCGCTAATCAAGCTGTGACGTTCGAGGTAGTCCAGAAGCTCGCGATTTATGCACCTCTCCATCACTTTACTGATAACAGAAAGCAGAGCTATAGGCCTGTAGTTGTAAGGGTCGGTTTTAGATCCTTTTTTTGGGATGGGCTGTACATGAGCAAATTTCCAGTTTTCTGGGAAGGTGCCGGATTCATAAGATATCTGGAAGAGACGCGAAAGAACTGGAGCAAGCTCAGCTGCACATCTCTTCAGTACAATGGCAGGAATCAAGTCCGGACCAGAAGCTTTGTTGATGTCGAGCGACAAGAGCACTCGTCTTACGGTCTTATGCCTGAATGTTACCTCCCGCATAGTGTGGGGAACCCTTTGAATTGACGGCACTTGGGCGTTGGTGGGGACGTCCATGGTGGAGTTCGCAGCAAAGATCTTGGCTAGCACTTCCGCCTTGGCCTTTGGGTCGAATACAATAGTTCCATCCTGACACGTAAGTGGTGGAAGGCTACTGTGTGAGAAGTTCTTTTCAATCTGCTTGGCCAGCGTCCAGAAAGACCGACTGCCATTGCGCTGCGACATTACCCTGTGCCTAACTTTTATATCATGCTGGGTTTTGGCATTGCGAACCGCTTCGTTATATTTGTTTCTGGACTCGACGTCGGCTTGTCTGTTCTCTACAGTGGGGTTTTGTAAGTAGGTTCTGTGGGCCTTGATCTTCTGCTGGCGAGCAGTGTCACACGATTTGTTGAACCAGCCGTTGGACCCTGGTTTAGGAACTTTCACTGTGTGAGGGATGTATTCCTCCATTCCGACGTGGATAATTTCGGTTATTGAAGAACAGACAGTCGACGTATCCGCGTCAGTGAAACAGACATCTTTCCAAGGAAAGCTAGAGAAGAAGTCTCTGAGCCCCTCCCAGTCGGCATGTCCGTAATGCCAAGTTTTGCGGCCTGTGCGAGTTTCTGCGGCCACAGCGGCTTCTGACCGAAACCTAACCTCCACAACACCGTGATCTGAGTTACCCAGGGGGGACAGGACGGCAGTGCTGTAAGGGGCAGGATGCGTGGTCAGAAAGAGATCCAGCAGGCTACTGGCGTGTGACGAGACGCGGGGGAAAAAAGTAGGGCTCGTCACCAGCTGGGTCAGCCCTTGAGTAAGAGCGAACGCTTCGACTGCACGACCTGCTGCATCGGTCTTATTTGAGCCCAACCAAAGCTCATTATGGGCATTGAAATCACCGAGAAGAACTACCTCTGAAGCGGGGTGATTGATGTTCAGGAAGTCGATCTGGACGGCGAGGTATTCGAGTAGGTCATCCCAGTTATGGTTCGAGGGAGAGCGATAAAGGCAGCAAATAAATTTGGGTGATATTTTGGAGTTGAGGCGAAGCCACAGAATGTCCTTCCGGTCTGATTCCAAAGAAAGATCCCTGGAGCAGGAAAGACTGCTGCGGACAAAAGCCACAACTCCCCCGTTCTTTCTCAGATTGGAGTGCACCTCGTAGTTTGGGAAGTTGAGATGGTTAATCGGTGTAGCCTCTGAGATTTTTGTCTCCGCCAAGAAAAGCACGGCGGGACGATTGGATTGCAGGTAGTGATGAACAGCATCAATGTTGCTGTTGATCCCGCAGATGTTCGAAAAACAAATTTTATCTTCGATGTTGTTCCCTCGAGCCCACCCTCCACCCGGACATTCCGAGAGTGGAGTGAGTTTACGTCCGGAGTTTTTAGTGCTCGAGGGATCCATCATCATTAATTTCTTTGTTTTGGTAGATAACCGACTGCATAGCTTAGGTGTGGAAACATGCGGACATTTATAAGACACCCTGGGAAAAGCTAGCGGGTGGTACTGCCTCGGTCGACTGGTCCTTGTCTACCACCTTCTTTTTACGTATTAGTGATGTTAAATAGACCTAAAGTGGCCCGTAGGCGGACTTGTACCGCCACCCGGCAATCGGTACTGAGGTATTCCTTAACGCGTGCGCAATCACTTGGACGGGAAGAAGTTGTATACTGGATACAACGACTTCCGGAACAAGCATTTGCCACGGCCCTCGCTCAGTAGGGGGGATTGTGCCTCTCACTGGGCAAATGAAACTTTTTCTCCACTACCTTATCTAACCACATCTTGCTTTCAGTCGGCAACGTCTTAAAACCATAGATGCTGCTTTCTTGACGTTTCAGCCGGTACTGCAATCATTTCTAGATGCCAACGTACTAATAATTTTCAAAACTGGTGAGGAACTAGCTTGGCATTTATAAAATTTCATTACGATACATTCAAAATCAATAGTACTGGTAAAATAGTCAGTTTTGCGGACGACGACGCCATATTGTACAAAAATAAGGATTGGAGTGACTTAAAAGGTATTATCCATAATGGCTTTCCATTGCTTTAACAACTAAAAGTTAACAATTTGCTTCGCTAAAACTCTTTGTTTTTCATTTTCATTACAATCCAACCTAGTTATAACTACCTTCTCTTTAATATAATTGATAAAAATCTTAAAATCAATAGAGTATTGATACAAATATTTAGCAATTTATCTAGATCTCCACTTGACAAGGGTCAAACATATTACTTGTACAGGGTGTTCCTTAATGATATGCAAATATTTAAGGGTGTGAATCTACATGAAGAATTGATGTTAGTTTGCTTCATAAACTATGGTCCAAAAATGTATCCTTACAAAAACTCGGGGTGTTGAAGTTTTAGGAAAAAAATGGAAATTAATCAATATTTTCAGAACCGCTTCAGATATGTCACTGATATTTAGTACGTCGTGAAAGTTGATAAAGTTGCACATTTTCCAATAAAAAAATAATTTTTAGCTTTACAGTGGCGTACGAGTAATGACTTCTATATTTTTTAAGAAAAAAATGGTATGCCAATGGCTTTTTGCCAAATAAAAATTATTATTTATGCCCCGTTCAATTTAAGACAAATGATCACTCTTGAATTGTTTTTATTCGATGCACCATTTTTGAGTAAAAAAATAAAAACCGTTCTACAGTATATTCAGATAAGAGATAGACCGGACATAAACAAGACCACGTGATCATCGAACGCTGTAACATTCGGCAGGGACGTATTAAGAGTCACGCAGTACATATTTTAGATAGTAGATGCTGCTTTGCGTAACTTTGTAGTAAATTAGCACAATTCGATGTGTATACGATTGGTGATGGCAATAGGATCATGTGGGGGTGGGGTAAGAAATATATAATGATGTAAATATACATAAGGGTTTCAAAATTTTCGCTTCGATTTCCAGCTTCGGATGCCGTCTGATGTTTGGTGAAATACAGTCGAATATAATCTCAAAATGGCGTTTAAATTAGCCTTAATTAAAAATAATCGTATATTTCTTAAAATTGCTTTTAGAATATTGATTAGTATATTTTTTGATTTCTAGGTAAATATGTAACCAAATTAAAACGTTCAAAACGTAAAAAAATGTGCATGGTTGAACATTGTCAGAAAGTAGATTCTTGAATAGGTTTTGCCAAAATGGGTTCAAAAATGTCAATAATTAATTAAAAAATACAGTAGCTTTATAATTACTTATAACTTACCGAATTTGATGAACGACATCTTTTATTGGAAAGATGAGCTTGATGAGCTTTCATCATCGCTACTGCCTGAAGCACCAACGTCAATAATGAATGGCTCGACTTGTTCCTCTAAAATATTGTCCAGTTCCCACATTCTCTTTTCAACTTTGTCTTTCACGTGCTTAATACAGTTTTCCCATTTTTGCGCTGTTATTAATTCTAGTGCTTCTTTGAAAAGTCCTTTGAGGTCACAAAATTTAAAAGTTGTATTGTGCTTAGCTATATAATTTTTAACCTCTGCCCATATGAGCTCAATGGGATTGAGCTCGCAATGGTATGGAGGTAAACGGAGCACAGTTTTATTTTGACTTGCTGCCATTTCGTCAATGGCGTATTTTTGATATTCCGCCTTGTGATCCTTGACAATTCTTAATAATTGTACTTTCAGCATTGCTTCTTCAAAGTTGATATTTTTCGAGCGGAGCCAATTTTGAACATCAACTTTCCTTGAAGCCGTTGTTGGGACCTTCTCCATTCTTCGAGAATGATAAGGCGCATTATCCAACACAATTACTGCGTTTTCCTCTAAGTTCGGTAAAATTTTTGAAAACCACTGTTCAAACGATTCGCCATTCATTTCCTCGTGGTAATCTCCAGTTTTCTTAGACTCAAAGCGCCACAGACCGTCAACAACAAATCCATCCTCACTGCCATCCTTTTCCCTTTACCTGGAAATCGAAGTACTAACTGGTGTAGATTTATTTCAATAAGCGAACCTTTTTCAAATGTTTTCATCACATTCAGCGAAAAAACATTGAGACATGAGTATCAGATTGCTATAATTGGGATTATTTAGTCATATTGAAAGAAAGAATATTGAACGTCGTATGATTACTCAGCGCTTCACAATTTAATTTAAAGTTATAAACCTCTAAAAAATGAATGATCAGGAACCTGAAATACGCGCAAATATTAATATTAACAAATTATAACTTTATAAAGCTTAAAGTATGAATTAAAATGATTAGAAATATTAGGAACGGTACACAATATAAAACTTAGTAACTTTTTTTAAGTTTATAATATTCGACATATTTTAAGATTATATTAAAAAATTATTGAAATATCGAAAACACATAAAAACATGGCTTAAAAAAGTTCTAACAAATGAAAATGACAATAAAACATCCACGCATTTTATCGAAAGTTATAAAAGTTTTGTTACTTGTAATATGTTTTATCTGCCCCCTGGAATTAATGTTTAGAACCTTGTTCCCAAGGTTTGAAAAACATCCGATTGTTGTCTATTACTCGTATTTACCTGCTGGATTTTTTAATCCGGTGGACAGTCCATCTAGAAAGGCCCTCCTGGATGAAGTTACAGAATCATCAACCCATACTTTACTTGTAGTGTGTCCTGCGTTTACCCATGTTTCATCAAGGTAATAAATCTTCCTGTTTTGATTTCTATATTTCCCAATTTTTGTTAAATAATCCCTCCTCCATAGCACAATTTCTTATCTATCCAGTAGTAAACTATTACGACCCCGTTTTTTCTATTTGAAATTTAAATGCTTCAGTAACGCATGGAAAGTTGATCGTTTGAAATTTGGCAACGTTGTATCTCCATTTACCTCCTGCAGTACTTTATCTATAGTAGGTATTTCATTCCTAAAGAAGAATTCGTGCACTTTCCTCCTAATCGCATGCTTATCAGCTTCATCCAATGATTTAACAATACTTTTGCGATGTTTACTGGTCAGTGGCTCAGAAAAGGTGTAATCTTTTTTGTATTGTCTTAACACATTAAACACTGATGCGCGACACACCCCAACTTTGTGAGAAACCTTCACAACAATTTCTTTGATGGTTGATGCCTCGTTCTCCTCGCGCTCGATCTTATACGTATATATATTCAAAATGACCTCTTTCATTTCTGCACTCAGGTGTCTTTTTTTAGAGCGTTTCCTAGGTGGACTACAGGAGTTTACAACTTCATCGGCAGTATCTGTACTACTGGGCATTTTGCGCAAGCAGTTGATAACAATAACAATCAATAACAAGGTATAACAATAACAACGACAAACTCAACAACTCAATAAGATAACAAACGAAAACGTCCAAAGAAATATCAAATTGCAATGATGCACACGACATACGTAACACGTCTGAACCTGAATGTGAGTCTGCCTTGATACGACTGCTCTGCCGCTCGGCATAGGCATTTAATTGCGAATTGACCAATGAGGGCTCCTGTTTTACGTCGAGACGGCGGCGTTAGCGTGAAAATCACCCGAACCTTTTGTTTACATCCGGTCTATCTCTTATCTGAATAGCTATGAATATGAGAATCCAACTGTGCTGCTCATCATTGAGCATGGCATTTGATCGAGTAAAAAGAAAAAAGCTATATCAAGCACTCCAGGAACAACATGCAAGCCAAAAAGTGGTTAATATGATTAGAATAACGCTAGAAAAGACAGAAAATAGGGTCAAGATAAACAGCAGATTTACAGAAAAGTTTGAAGTCAAAGAAGGAATCCGTCATGGAGATCCACTGTCATCGCTCCTATTTAACATTGTGCTCGAGAAAACTATACAAGAAGCAAACATAAGCAGGGCTGGTTTAGTATATCACAAAAAGCATCAATGTCTTGCATTTGCTGATGACTTGGCTATTCTGGCCAGAAGTAAAGTCGAACTTATAAACATCGTAAAGAGACTAGAGGAAAAAGCACGAAGCAAAGGACTGTACATTAAAGTAGAAAACTACATAGAATGGGCAGATAAAGAACTTGTTAAAGGACAACACTTTTTAATGACCACAACAAAAGGAGAAGGTTATAAGTACAGAAGTACAGAAAAAGTACATACGTTTGACTATTTGGTCACAGTATTTACATCAAATCCGGGCAACAGAGAGGAAATACAAAAAAGAATGATGGCTGGAAATCGTGCCATATATGCGCTATAAGGACTAACGAAAAGCCAAATTATATCCAGGGGACCTAAAATCAGGCTCTACAAAACGCTAATAAGGCCAGTGGTCATGTATGCATGTGAAACATGGACGATAACAAAGGCAGAACAAGCAAAGCTGGAGATGTGGGAGCGGAAGGTGTTATGGAAGATTTTTGGTGGCAAAATGTTAGATGATGGTACGTGGACCCGAAAAACAAATGATGAGTTGAAAGAACTGTTTAAAGAGCCCAACATAACGGCGGTCATAAGAGCTCAGAGGTTGAGATGGTTGGGATACGTGCAATTAATGGCAGAACATAGAGTACCAACGACACTGCTTACCCATTCAATAGGAGGAAAGAAAAATAGAGGCAGACCTAGGACGAGGTGGAAAACTGAGGTGAAAGGTGACCTGAGGAAATTAAACATAATTGATTGGGAAAGAAGAGCAATGAATAGAGAAGAATGGCGAAGGATCGCCAATCAAGCCATGGACCTACTAGGCCTGTAGTGCTAGTTTATATATATATATATATATATATATATATATATATATAATAGATTTAGATTTAGTAAATATTTCCCCTACTATTGCTACTACGTAGCAGCAACCGTACAATAATTCGACTTTAAATCAGAGTTTTCTTTTGCAGGCCTGGGGATGTCCTGCTCACTATGAAGACAGTAAAATAAGGGTTATATGTTTGAGCCCTGGCGCTACTGACACTCCGATGATGCAAAACTTAGAACCGGTACGACTTATTGCTGGCCACTATGCTAATACAAGAGTGGATTTTGCTGATACTAAGCAAGAAATCTCTTTACAGAAGTATGTCCATAACTGTTCTGTTATTTATTTATTTATAGCTTTTATTGCCCAACAGATAATATTCCATTTATAGACCAAAACCTTAAATTAGAAATATTATAAAAACCTAACTTATAAAACTATCTAAGGCGCTCCCGCAAAGCACATTTCAGCTCCGAAATAGAACATAAGAATATGTCACAAAACCTACAAATACAATACAATATATTTCAAACACATAACCCTTTCAGGTATTTTCAAAATCAAATTTGTGTTAGCATGACTGCAAAAGAAAGTAACATTACATCTTGAAACGGATCTTGGCGTTAAAAACTGTAGGTGTGATAACAATTCCGAAGAAACTATAGGTCCATGCAAGAGTTTAAACACAAAAATAACAGAACTGTGCTTCCATCTCACATTCAAAGACGTCATTTTAAATCTGTCTAACAGAATTTGATAGTCCGACCCACGTTGAGGGTAGACTCTATCGCACTTAAAAGCTAGATATTTAAGAAACTTTTTTTGAACATAATCTATCCTATTTATATAACAGTTATAGTAGGAATTCCATATTTGGGATGCATGCTCTAACTTAGATCTTATATAAGCATAATACAAGGTTTTTAGTGCTGTCAAATCTTTGATTAGCTTACAGTTTCTGATGAGAAAACCTAAGGCCCTATTAGCATTATTTACAATATTATCTATATGACATTCAACACTAAGCCTAGTGTCAAACATAACACCCAAATCACGAACAGTATCAACTCGAGTGACCTCAAATCCCCCAATACTGTATGCATATTCTATATTGCGTAGCTTTCGGGATAAAGTAACTACCTTGCATTTAGCAATATTCAAATGTAACCTGTTTAGCATACACCAATCTTGCAAACGGCAAAGTTGCGTTTGTAAATACTCACAATCTCTTTCACTATTAATATTAACATACAGTTTCAAATCATCAGCAAATAACAGTTTACCACAATCAACATAATCACATACATCATTCACAAAGAACAAAAATAATAAGGGGCCCCAGGTAAGAACCTTGTGGCACCCCAGATGACGAATTGAATCGAAACCATTGTTTTAAACGTACAGCTGTCGATTCCACAAGTAAGACATTAATAACGACATTGATTTGTCGAGCACCCTATGATCAACCTTATCGCAGGCTTTAGAAAAGTCAGTGTAAACTGCATCCAACTGTCCCTGATTATCTAGGACATTCAAAGCTAACTGAGTGAATACTGCCAGATTGGTAACAGTTGACTTACCACACATGAACCCTTGCTGGAACTCAGAAATTTAACTATAGGTGGAAAGGTAGAGGCGGTTGTAAAGAATTATTTTAAATAACTTGGCAAAATTATTCAATATTGAGATCGATCTACAGTTCTCAATTGAACGGTCACCCGCTTTGTAAATAGGACAAACCCTGGTTTCCTTCCATTTATCTGGGAATTTAGCTGTAGATAATATGAGAATAACAAGAGCATCTACTATACCAAGCGCTCAATCCTTGACCAGGAAAGAGGGGAGCTTATCTGGCCCTGAGGCCACCTTGGACTGCATCTCATACTTCATTTTCAGTTATACTCTTCTGAGCTAAGTTGACAATACATTGGATGTTAGAAGATAGGTTTTCACCGCAATAGGTATCAGATGGCAAGTAAACTGTCTTAAACAATTCAGCAAGAGCATTTACAATTGACTGAGGATCACCGAAATCATTATTCAGAGTCATATGACATGGAATCCGTGATGTTTTGTTCTTTTGATATACAGTGTGAGTCTTCATAAAGTGCATATATCAAAATCAGGGAAACTACACTCTATTTCATCGACGGATAAATCATAAGAAAAAATTAAAAACAATAATTGATTTTTTATGAATATTTTAAAATTTTTAGAGTCAGCTGCTAACCCTATTTAAATAAATCGTTACAACTTTTAAACTGAATGTCCTATCATATTGGAATAAATTTTGTTGCTGGAACTCACTATTTTTTCAATGATTTTTAAAACAATTGCTAAATTTCAATAAAAATTGTCCTATTTACCCTACCTTTTTTAAATGTCAAGTTATTCTATATGTTATTAGCTTCCTAATGGTGAAAAATTGCAAGTTTATTTAGCGTTTCAAAAAGCAGTGAACTCAGTTCAACGCCAGAGTAGGAATAAAACAACAGTATTAACCTACATGAATCATTCATTATCTTTAACAAATAAAATCAAATAGACTTGTCTATAGGATAATCATTTTGGCTTAATGCATCAAATGTTCAAAATGGCCACCCCGTTGCTGCAAACACATTGTAGCGCGAAGTGAAATTTGATGAGCTGCCCTACGAATCATCTCGGGATCATTTTTGATTTCGTTTGCAACACGCAAAACTCTTTCTTCAAGTTCCGCTTCGCTGTTTATGGAACTGCTGTACACCCTTTGTTTCATTGTCCCCCATAAAAAATAGTCGAGAGGTGTGAGATCTGGGGAACGCGCCGGCCACCCAACAGGTCCTTATCGACCGATTCAGCGGCCTGGATAATTTTCAGTAAGAAAAGACCTGACAATCAGCGAGTAATGGGCAGGACATCCATCCATTTGAAGCATCATTCTTCGACGGGTTTGCAGCCGCACTTCTTCCAACAGCAAGGGCAGTTCAGTCCGCAAAAGCTCCAGAAATCTCTCTCCGTTTAACGTCCTCGGGAGTATTATTGGACCAATCAAAAAGTTGTCAATCAGTGCGGCCCACACATTTACAGAAAATTTCACTTGTTGAAGCCCTTTACAGCCTAGGGTTTTCTCTTTTGGGCACCACTTATGTAAATTACGACAGTTCACGATGCCGTCTCTCGTGAATTGAGATTCATCTGTCCACAGAATTGTTTTCGGGAATTCAGGATTGTCTCTTGTTTTTATTCAAATCCATGTAGACATAACGCACCTTGGACGCCAGTCCACATCTTCATGCAAGTGCTGCCCCTTTGATAATGGTATGGATGCAACCCTGCTTTCCTCAAGATGCGCCAAACCGATTTCTGGGATACGCCATGACGTAACGCCAAACGTCTCGTATTAGTAGTTGGGTCAGCAAAAAAATCATCCAAAATGGCTTCTTCGATAACAACATGAATAATAACACCTGGTTCGCGGCGATCTTGAGGCAAACCAAGTCCAGTGTTAGCCAGTCCTCTATGTACTTCTTGGAAGTTACGGGCTGATGGAACAGGGCGTCGATTTGGAAATGCAGCTAGATAAGCTGTGCAAGCAGCTCTAGCACTCCCTCGGTACATTCCATTATAATAATGGATATCGGCAATGTGTGCCGGAGGGAAATCACTTATACGTGGCATCGCGACCAAAAAGCGAAAGCGTGATATGTAGCAAACGAAACTGATAAAGTTGGCAGGAGAAACACAAATAGCTGCCTAACTACCCAACATTCAATTGTTTTTCAACTGGGACCGCCTCCCCACTCGTACTTCAGCCCGCGCGACTCTACATTGAATCACCAAAAAAAGGTATCTACATGATAAACAATGGTGCCTAGCAAGACGATGCGCATGGGCTTTTTTATAAACACTCATAGATATTGTTACATTTGAGTAATAAACATGCAATTTTGACTTTTATAAAGCTGATAACATGTAGAATAACTTAAAAATAAAATAAGGTAGGGTACAAGGGTCGTCCCTTGTACCCTACCAATTTATAGAAAATTTGAAATTATGTAAAAATGATGAAAAAAAACCAGATTTTCATCAAAATTTTCTTTATTCTAAATGGATGTCATTACTTTTCCTGGAATTCTTCACTTTTCAGGCACGTCCTTGTACCAGCAATCACTACAAAATGTATTCCAATATGATAGGACATTTAGTTTAAAAGTTGTAACGAGTTATTTCAATATGGTTAGAAGCTGCTACTAAAAATTTTAAAATATTCATATATTCATAAAAAATCATATTCATGTTTTTTTGATGATTTATCCGTCGATGAAATAGAGTGTAGTTTCCCTGATTTTGATATGTGCACTTTATGAAGACTCACACTGTATAAATGTCCAAAAAGAAGCGGGGTTATTTCTCACCGACTGTTGGACTTCTTGCAAATAGCTTTTGTACGCAACCTTTGATTGTGATTTGATGATTGATCTTAGTCTAATGAACTCGTTTCTGTAAAAGTTGTTATTAGTTTGTTTCCGTTAACGATAGTTTCTTGCCTTATCTTTTATGTTCTTAATTATTAACGAATTATACCATCTTGGAAACATCCGCTTGAACATTTTGAATAATGGTACATGCTTATCCAAGATTCCATAAAGCTTTTTGTAGAACTCGTCAATTGCTTTATTAACATCCTGAAATGCTTTCAAAAATGACCAATCAATAATAGTTAACTGTTTGTATAATGCGCGTCCAGATTTTCAAGATTTTCTATCACTATTCTTATTATTGTTTTGTGGTTTTGATAACTAACGAATATTACTTTTCAGGCTGGATGTGGTAGCCGAGGAGCTGGTACGAATAATAAGGTACGCCAAAAGCGGAAGCGTTTGGATCGTTGAGAATGATCAGCCGGCATACCAATACGAATTTCCACCAAGAGCAGAATTCATGAATAACACTCTGAAAGAAAGCTGATAGCCTCAGTTAAAGTATCTATCTTGCCTCGTTATGTTCTTTGAGAAGGATTTTCTCTTGGTAGTTTGCATTATAGATACAATTGGGGAAGATGTAGCATGTATCGTAATATTGTAGCTCATAAACTTTAGATAGGCGTACTCAACTTCAAATAGTCCTTTTTATGTAACGGGTGATTTTTTAAGAGGTATAGGATTTGATCTTCAAAAAAACACAAAAAATTTGAAAAAACGATTAAACCTTTATTTGAGTCGATAGAACGGTCGATATAGTTTAATGTTTAAAGATTATTTCACGTAAATGTTGGCCGCGGCTCCGCTTTAGATGGCCCATGCGCAAGGTCCAATTTTGGCGCACACTCTCCAACATATCGGCCGGTATCTTACGAACAAATGCTTCAATATTGGCTTCCAGTGCGTCAATCGTTGCTGGTTTATCCCTGTAGACATTAGCCTTAACATGGCGCCACAAGAAATCGTCCAACGGCGTTAAATCACACGATCTAGGCGGCCAATTGACGGGCCCCAAACGTGAGATAAACTGTTCACCGAACTCGCCTGTCAATAGGGCCATTGTTTCGTGTGCGGTGTGGCATGTGGCACCGTCTTGTTGAAACCACATGTCAGCCAAGTCCAGCTCTTCCATTTTGGGCAAAAAAAAGTTTGTTATCATCGCACGGTAGCGCTCGCCATTCACAGTTACGTTCCGGCCATTGTCGTCTTTGAAGAAGTACGGCCCGATGATGCCACCGATCCATAATCCACACCAAACAGTGATTTTTTCGGGATGCATTGGTAGCTCTTGCAATGCTTCTGGCTGGTCTTCACTCCAGATGTGGCAATTTTGCTTGTTAACGTACCCATTCAACCAGCAATGAGCTTCGTCGCTGAACACAATTTTTCGATAAAAATGTGGATCTTCCTCCAACTTTGCCAGCGCCAATTCACCAAATGGGAAACGTTGTGGAAAGTCGTGTGGCTTCAATTCTTGCACCAGCTGTATCTTGTAAGGTTTTACACCCAAATCCTATCGCAAAATTTTCCACGTAGTGGAGTAACAGAGGCCCAATTGCTGCGAACGGCGGCGAATCGACATTTCACGGTCATCACTAACACTGGCGAATACAGCCGCAATATTTTCTTCAGTCCTCAATCTTCGTCTGCGTGTTGGTGGTTTAATGTCCAATAATGTAAACTGGGTTCGAAATTTAGTCACAAGCTTCCGAATAGCTCCCTCAGTAGGCCGACCAAATTGCCCATAAATTGGAAGCAGTGCTCGATGCACTCTCTTAACCGGGCATGAATTTTGATAGTAAAATTCAATAATTTGCAAGCGTTGTTCGTTCGTAAGTCGATTCATGGTTAAATTATAGGCCAAACTGAACAAGTTTGACAATGACACAAGACACGATTCATGCGTCATCTGTCAAAAACAGTGTTGCCAAAAAGATACTATCAAAAAAATCACCCATTATTATTTACCTCTAGGAATAACATAATAAATAAGTATGGGAGCTTCATTTTTATTTGAATTTTATAGGTAGGTGAATCGAGTGCATAATGATCCCTTTACGGAAAAACTTTACTGCGCTCAAAGTTTAAGTCAAAAACACAAGATTCAAATTGTTAAGAGTAGTGAATTTACTTTCTTTTGTAGCTCCTACTTATGTCTCATGATACGTCTGTAGCTTATTAATTTCGTCATATTTTCTAAAATTTTAGTTTTATGTTATTTTTTTATACACATGTACTTATGAAATGATCCCAGGGATCGCATTGATGACGCAGATGCTTATTGAAAAGCTATGTCCTAAAGGTTTTGGCACAAAATATTTATCGGACTTTTTTAGTGGAGAAATTTATTCATCACCCAAATTTATTTGCTGCCTTTATCGCTCTCCCTCGAACCATAACTGGGATGACCTACTCGAATACCTCGCCGTCCAGATCGACTTCCTGAACATCAATCACCCCGCTTCAGAGGTAGTTCTTCTCGGTGATTTCAATGCCCATAATGAGCTTTGGTTGGGCTCAAATAAGACCGATGCAGCAGGTCGTGCAGTCGAAGCGTTCGCTCTTACTCAAGGGCTGACCCAGCTGGTGACGAGCCCTACTTTTTTCCCCCGCGTCTTGTCACACGCCAGTAGCCTGCTGGATCTCTTTCTGACCACGCATCCTGCTCCTTACAGCACTGCTGTCTTGTCCCCCCTGGGTAACTCAGATCACGGTGTTGTGGAGGTTAGGTTTCGGTCAGAAGCCGCTGTGGCAGCAGAAACTCGCACAGGCCGCAAAACTTGGCATTACGGACATGCCGACTGGGAGGGGCTCAGAGACTTATTCTCTAGCTTTCCTTGGAGAGATGTCTGTTTCACTGACGCGGATGCGTCGACTGTCTGTTCTTCAATAACCGAAATTATCCACGTCGGAATGGAGGAATACATCCCTCACACAGTGAAAGTTCCTAAACCAGGGTCCAACGGCTGGTTCAACAAATCGTGTGACACTGCTCGCCAGCAGAAGATCAAGGCCCACAGAACCTACTTACAAAACCCCACTGTAGAGAACAGACAAGCCGATGTCGAGTCCAGAAACAAATATAACGAAGCGGTTCGCAATGCCAAAAACCAGCATGATATAAAAGTTAGGCGCAGGGTAATGTCGCAGCGCAATGGCAGTCGGTCTTTCTGGACGCTGGCCAAGCAGATTGAAAAGAACTTCTCACACAGTAGCCTTCCACCACTTACGTGTCAGGATGGAACTATTGTATTCGACTCAAAGGCCAAGGCGGAATTGCTAGCCAAGATCTTTGCTGCCAACTCCACCATGGACGTCCCCACCAACGCCCAAGTGCCGTCAATTCAAAGGGTTCCCCACACTATGCGGGAGGTAACATTCAGGCATAAGACCGTAAGACGAGTGCTGTTGTCGCTCGACATCAACAAAGCTTCTGGTCCGGACTTGATTCCTGCCATTGTACTGAAGAGATGTGCAGCGGAGCTTGCTCCAGTTCTTTCGCGTCTCTTCCAGATATCTTATGAATCCGGCACCTTCCCAGAAAACTGGAAATTTGCTCATGTACAGCCCATCCCAAAAAAAGGATCTAAAACCGACCCTTACAACTACAGGCCTATAGCTCTGCTTTCTGTTATAAGTAAAGTGATGGAGAGGTGCATAAATCGCGAGCTTCTGGACTACCTCGAACGTCACAGCTTGATTAGCGACAGACGGTTTCCAGCACCAACGATCCACAGGGGACCTCCTAGCTTACGTCACGCAACTGTGGAGTAAACTCATCCAGTCTCATGGTGAGGCTCATGTCGTTGCTCTTGACATCACGAAAGCGTTCGATCAGCTGTGGCACGCTGCCCTCTTAAGCAAACTTCCATCGTACGGCCTCCCAGAAAAGCTTTGTAGATGGGTGGCTGACTTTATCTCTGGCCGCAAGATATCCGTCGTAATTGACGGATTCTCCTCTTCATCCCACAACGTCAACGCGGGTGTTCCCCAGGGATCGGTTTTGGCTCCAACACTGTTTCTCTTACATATCAACAACCTCCTTTCCTGCACGATCAACCCAATCCACAGCTTCGCTGATGACAGCACTCTACATGCAGGAATTCAGAGTGACAAGCCGATCTCTGCCGCTGAGCTGGAAAAAAGAAGACTAGCGACGACTTCTTCTCTGACAAGAGACCTGGAGGCTATCACTGCTTGGGGACGCAACAATCTTGTACAGTTCAATGCTTCCAAAACACAGTACTGTACTTTGACGAACAAAAAGCGTCCTAGCGCTCATACAGTTTCGATGGACGGTCGAGTTCTATCAAAGAGCCATTCATTTCGGCTGGTCGGAGTCCAGATCACCGAGGACCTGATCTGGCACGAACACATCTCTTCAATAGCTGCAGCTGCTGGGAAAAAGCTAGGCTATTTGTTTAGGGCTAAGAAATACTTTTCTCCGCATGACCTTCTCACTCTATACAAGGCCCAGATAAGGCCTAGCCTCGAGTATTGCTCACACACTTGGGGTGCTGCCGCCCCGACTACATTGTCCATGCTCGATGCTGTCCAGAGGAGGGCGGTCCGACTGATCGATGACTCTTCTCTAACAGACAGTCTCGGGACTCTTTCGCACCGGCGGGCCGTCGCCGATCTAGCTCTTTTCTATCGCGGGCTGTGCTCCTCAGAGCTCTCTTCCATGATGCCGCCGCGCGATGTGCCTGCCAGACAGACCCGCCTGACTTCGGCGTCCCATCCTAACCGTGTCAAACTTCGAACATCCAGAACTGGCCGATACGACCGCTCCTTTGTCCCGAGGGTGTCTAGATTGTGGAACAATCTACGGGAGGAAGCTTTTCCCAGTTCTACTAACCTTAGGCAGTTCAAAAATCGTATTAACAAAATTTCTTTGGGATCATCATAGCAGCCGCGGTGTTCCGGCATTTAGGCTTTTGCCTGCGCGGCTGTTTCGATATAAAAAAAAAATATTTAAACACTAACTAGTTATCACAGGTTACAACTCAATACTTAACTAAAGTATACTATCGAACTATGCGGAGTGGTCCATTCTGCTCTACCAGACGCAACTATTTATAATGTCTCTCATGAGGTTCTGGACGGAATTCAGATCAATTTCTCTCAGATTCGTTAATTCGCCGTCTTGGTTGTTCCTCATGATAAACCCTCTTGCAACAAGTTTGGAGAGTCATCGTTTTTGAGAGCAAAAGGTATGTTGTGTTGACGCAGCCAGTTTTGGGTATCTCTTGAGTAATCACATGTATCTACGTAGGTCTGGCCAAAACATGATATGGACATTAGCATGATGTTCGTAGACAAACTGAAGCAATCTGGAAAAGCAGTTATCAATATAGCTCTGACTATTCAAAGTTTCACCTCTCGCTGTTCCCACGTGTAAACCTATAATAAACATACACCTTTTAAAACTGTAAGGGTCAATATGCCGCCATCACCTTGCTTAACTAATGAACTGCGCACAGCTTTTGATGAAAGGAATACTGCTACTACTTTATATAAAGCTAATAAGACCTTGGACGCCTATAACAACTTCAAATCGCTTAGACCGTGCTCTTAACATGATCATGAGGGATAAAAAGACATATATTGAAAATTTGGCAAATGAAAATGATTCAAAACAATTGTGGAAGTCTCTCCAGCAATTTTATATACTCGTAAATTGCCGTAGTAAATCAACCCTTCCCACAAGTTTTAATGACCCTACCAAACTTAATGTTTATTTTATATCTGTTCATAGCTACAAACCTGTTGATTCACTAGTTTGCGAGAACTATTTTAAAAATAAATTGAGCTCTGAATATATTTTTTCATTGAATAAGATTAGTTCAAATGACGTATTAAGGTAAGTACTCACTTGGAGACCACGTTGCGCGATTTTCTTTAGGTGGTCTAGACTTGAGACATAGACGTGGTGTAGAAACACCGATCTTTGCCTCATCTAGCGTCCACACTGTGATGGGAATTTTTCTAGTCTCATCTTCGCCAACCACCATGGCGGACCTTGCTTTGTGCGCAATGAGTACCTGTTTAGTAAAAAAGCGCGAAAACGTAAACGTTGGTGGACGCGCGAAGTGTTCGCAGAAGGACCTAGGTTCGGTACCGAACTAGTAAATAAATTAAGATTGGGGAACAACATTTGTCGTTTGACCACATGGTAAACAAAAACAGCAGAGACCGCATGCACTTGTTTACAAAGCAAGAGAGGTACTGGGAAATGTATCGTCTATGGACGCGAGGTACTCACTATCACCTTGTTGCGCAACGTATCCCAACGTTGCATTAAGTCTCCCATTTCAATCGGGAGACTTGAGACCTGCTTTTTTTAGTTTCGCAACCGCCCCGTAGACCGGATTTGGTCTATAGACATGTCTACCGAGACATACTGAGACAACTTTAGACATGTCTCTGAGACCAAAATCGCGAGACATGTCTACTAGTGAGTACTAGGCTTTACAGGCAATAGGGAGCCTAAAATCTGATGCGAAGGGAATTGATGGTATATACCTGTCAATGATCCAGCTTTGCCTGCCAGTTCTTCTCCGTCACATCGTCCATATCTTTAACGACTGTTTGGAAAAGGCTACTTTTCAAACACATGGAAACAAGTTCTAATTATTCCAATTCCTAAAAAAATTAAAGCCACTGTGTATAATGATCTCAGACCTATCAGTTTATTACCAATTTTATCCAAAATTTTAGAAAAAATATGCTTCCAATTGACCGCTTGCCTAGAAAAATCCTTTATACCTCCCGACCCTCAATCCGGTTTTACAAAAAGTTATACTACATCTGCCCTACTCAATCTGCAAGACAATATTTTAAGTGCCTTAGATAAGAAAATTGCACTAGCGTTAATTTCAATAGACTATTCGAGAGCCTTTGACAGCACCAATCATGAAGTATTGCTTGCTAAATTAAGTTACATAGGTCTTGATATTGTATCCCTTTCATTATTCGACCGTTACCTTCATCAAGGAACTCAGTGTGTCTTTCTCAACCAGGAAATGTCTCAAGTGACAATAATTCCCTCAGGCGTACCTCAGGGCTCTGTATTGGGGCCGCTGCTGTTCCTCATATATACGTTCGACTTAAGCAAAAGTATTGATAATCCTCATGTCCAGTCACTTGCAGACGTTACGCAGTTGATCCATTATTTTAACCCAGATAATGTCAATATTACTACGCAAATTTTACAAAACGATGATAGTAAATTAATTAAATACTCTTCAGATCACAATCTACTTATTAATCTACAAAAATCTAAAATGTTATTATTTTGCGCACAAAGAAAAGCATACAATGTAACACAGCTCTTGAACATTCAGATAAATAACCAAATCTTGCAATTTTCTGATTCTGCAAAAATTCTTGGTGTTGTTTTTGATACAAAATTAAGGTTTACTGGACATGTTAAAAGTCTTTCCCAGAAAACCTACCTACGGCTGCGTACTCTTATAGCAAACAGGTATTTACTAAATTTTAAGTTGCGTAAAAAACTATGTGAAGCATTGTTCATATCTATAATCTCTTTTAGGAGGTCAAGGTTACAAACGATACAACTGTAAAATCTTTGTAACACAAGATATCATAACAGCTTATCTTGTTTAAATAAATAGATTATAGCATCTTGTACCTGTTAGGATACAGTTTCAGTGTAATCTTCGATTTTAAAATCTGTTCTTTCAATAAAACGTGTTTCTAAAACATTTATGGCGTTATTTTTTAACATTAACCACACGAATGTGGATAGAACGTGGTTTACCCGGGAAAAGTCCGAAACATTTATTATTTCAGTAATATTTTGGACTTTACCCATGTTGTCTGGGTGCAGTTTACCCGGGTTAACCTAAGTTTAATCATTATTCTAACTTTACCCGTAACATATACTTCGAAGTTGAGTCATTTATTTTAACAGTGAGTAGATCTGATCAAAAGAAATGTTTTTTCCTTTAACATTTTTGTGGTAAAATTAAAGTAACAAAGTTATAGCCCTTTAGAAGTTTAAGTACCGCCCTGTCTCAATAATAATATTATGTGCTCGTGTTTGGCAACAACGTATATAATCCGCCTTATCGGTTCATCGCATCGGAAACAAAAAAGCGAAAGAATTTGAAACGCTGATCACGATGTTTTTATTCAGTCAATGTGTCAGTCGGTAACGCGTGAGTGAATAGTGGTGTTTGCTGCGTGGCTCAAACGAAATAAAAAATGGCACATGTTTATGCGGATCGGTTTCCCAATCGAGTGCAACCAACCCCTCGTGCCTTTGTTAATGTAGTACAACGGGCTCGTGAATCAAGTGACTTAAGACCTCACAGGAGACCTCACGATCAAATACAGGTCCGCACTGAAATACTTGTCGGGAGGATACTTTATAAAACAAGGTAAAAAAAATTTTTTATTTTTTTTTTTATTTTTACACACATATTTTGGTTTATCTTCCTTCTACAATCATTATCTGAAAATTAATGACTCAACTTCAAAGTCACCCTGTATATATATATATATATATATATATATATATATATATATATAACTTGAGACGTGGTCATTGTCGTCTAGACCATTTAGGTGAAAAATTAAAGCTTCCGCCTTTTGTTGGACAAAATTTAAGCAAAGAGGACTCTTTATACTTTTTTTAATTCTCTCTAGCTTTCAATGGACTTTGCCATCATCATCAGGAGCTGCAATTACAATGATAACAGTAGCAACAATAGTGTAAAATGAATTTGAATTGACTCAACTTACAGTAGTATGTGAGGATGTTGCTAATTGTTGTTTACGTATAGGATGAGGGAAACGTCCAGTAACATGGTGAGAGCTGGATAGATGGTACAATGGTCAAAATTATATAAAATATGACAAGAACACGTTAAAAACAGATTAAAAATTATTTAAAACATTAAAGCATTACTTCGTGAAGCCACTTGATGATTGCACAAAATGGTGGCCATGGAATAATGAGTGAGATGAACCTTTTGACAGAAGGCCGAAGGCTGTCAATGTCTGTGTAGAAAGATGGAACGAATTGTGGGCGTGTGCCAACGTTGCCAAATCACTTCAGATGATGTGATTTTCAGAATGTTATGTAAGAAATTGTTAAACCGACCAGAGGCAGTTGAATAAACTATATTTTAATTAATGGGAAATTAAATTAACAATTATTATTAAATCGTGAGAGAGAATTATTAGAATTTGAGTGGAATGAAATTTACTGGTGGAATCGACCAAGATACAGATTCCATTTATGGTTGTGAAGAGTCAAAATTTGAGGAGATATGTAAGTTCTCCAATTTTTCGCAGTTTAGCAAATATGAGTAAATGACACTCAGTTGTTTAACATCTGTCTTTTTGTTGATACAGTTGTTATTCATGAAAATGTGGGACATTTCCAGGAATAAACGTTTGGAAAGGTGTTTTTCTTCATCAAGAACTTTGATACTTGTGTAATTCATAGAATGCCCTGATGTGTTAACATGAGATGCTAGAGCGCATCTTTCAGGATGAAGCCTAGAATCACTTTTGTGTGATGTAATCCTTCCTTTAAGAGATCTGGAGGTCTGACCTATGTATATTTGGTTGCAGTTGTTGCAATTGATGGAGTAGACTGTGTTGGTTAAGCCAAGCAGCGGGACTTTGTCTTTCATTTTTGAAAAAATGCAGTTTATAGTGAGGACGGATTTGCAAGCGATTCGAAAGTTCAAAGGACTGCACAATCTGATCAGCTTAGGGGTCAGTTCCTTGATATAGGGCAGGACAGCAAAACCAGGTCTGGAGTCCGGGTTGGTGCTTGTACTGTTTGGATTGATGCTATTGTTGGGAATTACATTATCGCCAGTCTTGATGTGGTGTCGCTATTCAGCAATATCTATCTGGATGCATGTACAAGAACTATTAATAAACACTGGAATGAGATAAGTCAACACTGCAACATATCTCTAGAATCGTTCACCGACATTATAACATTCCTCTTTCATAACAATTATTTCTCTTTCAACAACAAAATATATTCTCAAACACATGGTTGTCACGACGTAATGCTTTAATGTTTTAAATAATTTTTAATCTGTTTTTAACGTGTTCTTGTCATATTTTATATAATTTTGACCATTGTACCATCTATCCAGCTCTCACCATGTTACTGGACGTTTCCCTCATCCTATACGTAAACAACAATTAGCAACATCCTCACATACTACTGTAAGTTGAGTCAATTCAAATTCATTTTACACTATTGTTGCTACTGTTATCATTGTAATTGCAGCTCCTGATGATGATGGCAAAGTCCATTGAAAGCTAGAGAGAATTAAAAAAAAGTATAAAGAGTCCTCTGCTTAAATTTTGTCGAAGTACCCAACAAAAGGTGGAAGCTTTAATTTTCCACCTATATATATAGATATATGTATATATATATAAATATATATATTTTCTTAAAAAATACCGTACGCACGCCACTGTTAAAGCTAAACATTATTTTTGCATTGAAAAATATGCAACTTTATTAACTTTCACTATGTACTAAATATCACTGAAATATCTGAAGCGGTCCTGAAGATATTAATTAATTTCCATTTTTGTTTTTCCTAAAACTTCAACAACCCGAGTTTTTGTAAGGAAACATTTTTGGACCATAGTTTATGAAGCAAACTAACATTAATTTTTTATGTAGATTCACATCCTTAAATATTCGCATATCGTTAAGAAACACCCTGCATATCTCCATCTCCCTCATACATACGCAAGCAACCTGTCACTGTGAGTGAGCGTGTTAGAGTATTTCCAGGAAGAGAATGTAAACAGCGGTCCCCTGTTGCCCACTTGACGCACACTGTAAAATTAAGATCCGCCCAATGTACGGAGACTGGATCTGTTTACTTATTTCATATGGCGCTGATGACGTAGCCTCCAAGAATTTTGACTACAACTATACTAATTTATTGTCTTGGTTAAATGGAAACTAGTCATACAAAAAAAATTATAGGCATAAATAAGAAACATTTTTTTTACTTATTATGCACCTAGACGTGCCTTCTATTATAACATTTAAACCTGTCACGTGCGCGTAAAAAGCGCCAACAGGTACGCATCGTAACTGTGACAAGGCCACATTAAGTTGCTGGGTATGGCTGATATTCTAAATGTTTAATGTCTCCTCCGGGTTAAACTCTCCCGGACTTCCCCTACTTCAAAAACTGTCACGTCATATGAAACTCTATCTGTTAGTGAACGGAAAGCTTTTTGGCGCATCAAAGGCCCTGCGAAATAAATAATTTTAAAAAGGCGCCTTCGCCGTCCGATGGAGTTGGAGTTAGAGTTTAGGTGCCTGGCGTGTCACCGTCGGTGCTAAAATATTCATTGGCGTTAGATGACCCGTCTTTTCTTGCAGTCAGGCACTCCCGGATTCCCGCTCCGGTTGCCTCTTTGAAGGAGTCCGGGTGAGACAACTACAGTGTCCATTACCTTAATGCACTGTTCCAGTCCCTCCGAGGACTGATGATTAATATTGCATTTTCTTGCCGTGGCCACTCTGCCTCTCAGGGGCGGACACTTTCCGAAGGATCGACAGGTGAATTGAACAGTACTCAAACATGTAAGCCAGGGTTGTCCAACTTAATGTGGCCCAAGGGCCACTTAAAAAAAAATGCAGTTTGGAGCGCCGCATTATAAAATCTTTCTATACAACACTATTACTGAGTTTTAATAGGTATATGCATATTCGGTATTTGAGAGTAATTTATACTTGTGATGTAAACATGACCCGTGAAGCGGGCCGCAAGAAAGGAGTTCCGCATGCGGCCCGCGGGCCGTATGTTGGACAGCCCTGATGTAAGCCTTAAGTCGCATAAAAGAGTCAGAAGTAATAGAAACGTAATTATGCAAGTGCGTGCGCGGCAACCTTGAAGAGCGAAGAGTACAGTGGCTGTTAGGTATACAGGATGTTCCGTGCAGAAGGATCCCTTGATTCAAGAACACAGACTCCTATGAAATCGTAAAATTCATTCATGGTCACAGGTAGTTGCGATGAGGTAATTCCATTCTTCCAAAGAAACATATATATATATATATATATATATATATATATATATATATATATACTCGTATATATACAGGGTGGCGCATCGAAAACGAAACAGACGCATTTCCTGGCAGCTCAGTTTTTTTTTCGAAAAACGCTCAGACCCGTCGATTTGTTTTCGAGGGGGACACAAGCTTGACAAAAAAGCACGTTAGCACGTGCAATCCCGTAAGCGAGGGTGACACCACCCCCAAAATCTTAAATGGAAAGGGGGGTCGAGTGATACCTTATTTTAAAGGTCCTTCAATTCCCTTTATAATGATATAAAATTAATGTACTTCAGTTCAGGAGTTTTGAAGATTTATTGATTTAAAGCTTAAATAAAACTAATACATCATCATTAGTGGAGATCAATACATTTGGCAGCAAAAATGAAGAATGAACTGACCCGTTAGGCAAGTAAATGTTGAAAATGGCCACCAACACTCCCCATGCAATATTAAAGATTTTGCTCAAAACGTTGCCGCACATTTTGCAATATTTGAGGAGTTATTTGAAGGCATTCATTCAGAATTCTTTGTCGCAGGTCTTCTAATGATGTTGGCTGAGTAGCATAGATTTTGCCACATAAAGAAATCCAAAGGTGATAACTCTGGCGATCTTGGGGACCATTCAATAGCACCTCTTCTA